CCTCCTCCGCAGCCCCCGCCCCTGCGCTCCTCGCCCATCCCCGCCGTGTGCTCCCTGGAGATGCTGATGGAGAGCGGATGATAACCGGCTTGGGTCTCAGGAGCCGGGCCAGGAGGCCAGGGCCCACCCCTAGGATCTGCCTGGTGGACTTTGAGGGCTGTGGGGCTGAGAAGGACGTGGGAGAAAGTGGGGCGGAGATGAGAGGACGCCCTGCTGAGGAGCCCTGGGTACCGAATTCCGCAAACACTTGTTTTCTTCCTGCGGCTGCATCTGGGGCGCGCGCACCGGGATTGGATGCCGTTCTGGTCGCCCTGCGTTTCACGTGCGTTGCTTTGCCCACCCCAAACAGATCGTAAAGTCTTCGTCAGGGCATGGGCAAGATATGCTTCCCTGTCCTTTAGCAGTCCTGGGATGGGTGTGGGGCTGGAGCAGGTGATGGAAGGGGAACGGAAATTAATTCTATTGCAGCTGTAGACCAGGGAGAGGATCAGGACCCGAAGCCGGCAACAAGATATGATTTTAAACCAGATTTAACTTTTCTGAGCCTTAAGTGGACGTCCGGAAGCAGCCAAGGGAGAATACTGCCCCCTGCCGAGAAGGGTCAGCACTTACACCACGGGCCCTGTGGGAAGGGAGAGTCAAAGGGCCACTATTATCACAACTGGCAAGAGGAGTCTAGAAGACACACTAGAAAAAGACAAGGAGACGTTTCCGTCTCAACCGCAAGCTGTGAGCAAGCAGGTCTGGGTAGTGTCGCTGAAGAGAAGCAAACTCTGATTCAGGATACAAATCCGTAGGTTATTTTTGGATCCTTCCTGGGTCCCCAGAGGGAGAGGACAACGGGGCAGGTGCCTTGGAGGGTTTGAAGAGAAAACACAAGGCTTACAGAAGTAAGTTTGTGGCATTTAGATGATGGCTGAGGAGCTACAGCCTATGGAATGCCAGTGAGCATGTGGCAGAGGACACTTTGGTTCCTAACAGAATGCCTGAGACCAGCAAGTTTGTAAAGACTAGAATCTGTCCGGAGGCTGGGAAGGCCAAGAGCCTGGTTTAGCAACTGCTAAAGTGTGGTAAGGGCTGTCATGCGTTGTAACACTCGGAGGACACCGTATGGTGAGGCAGGGCGAATATGTTAGTGCCAGCCTCTTTCTCCCATAGAGCCACTAGGGCCAACCCCTGTGACCTCACCTAATCCTTATTACTGCTCTGAGACCCTGTCTCCAAATACCATTAACATAGGAATTCAGGGATTAAGTCCGAGTCGTGGATTTGAAGGGCCACTTGTAAACTCTATCAGGCATTGACACTGACTGAAGATGAGGAAGGTGGTTAGGTTCTGACTAGCTGTCTTCTGATCTCGGCAAAGACAGGGAGTGACTTCTCACCACTTAGGGCCATTCTCTCCCACTCTCTGAATCTTTTTGAGCCAGGACTTAAACGTTCCTGTTCTTATAACCGAAACAAGCTTCCTGGAAGACAGTTTGACAGTACTGATCCTATATGAAAATATTTAAAAATTGCATCTGCTCTTATACATATATACCTTCACACAAGCTATTCAGGGGACCTCATGGAAAGACTGAGGGTTCGGAAGGACTGGGTGAGCGCTTGCTTAGACTGTGTAAGGTCCTGGGTTCAGTTCCTGGGAACACACCCTGGTCTTAGTTTGCTGTCTTTTTCTGTGGTAAACACAATGACTGACAGGGACTTTGGGCAGGAAAGAGTTTGTTTCACCTTACAGCTTGTGGTCCATCATCCAGGGAAGTCAAGGCAGGAACCTCCAGGCAGGAGCTGGAGCAGCAGCCATTGGAAGAGTGCTGCTCACTTACTTGCTCCCAGACTTGCTCAGCTTGCTTTCCTAAATAACCCAGGGCCATCCTGGCCAGAGGTGGCACCACCCACAGTGGGCTGGGTGCCTGAGATTTGCGTACAGGCCAATCTGAGGGACACATCTTCTCAACTGAGGTTCCCTCTTCCCAGATGACTCTAGCTTTGCCAATTTGACAAAAAAACAACAAAAAAACTAACTAGCACACATACACACATACACACTCTCTCTCCTTAAACCCTTAACATATGCAATGCTCTTGTTGTAAATTATTATACAATTATTCTTTTTTATACAAACATTCTGAGGAAATAAAAATACAGTATGGACAAAAATTTAACCTGGGTCTCTGACAGCGCAACTTACATTATGCCTGAGACTAACGAGGTAAATGGTGGGGCCCGTCTGTAATAAAATAATGTGGCCCTTAATAATGTTTCGTGACTACATTAGTCAGCATGGATAATTATTCATAACAGATTTCAATACCATTAAAAAGCAGGCTGTAATGTAAAATGTTTTTAGTTTTTGTTTAAAATACACACGTATCCTTCCTGCCTTCCTGATATTGGTCTTTCTGTCCAAGATATTGATGGAATTTCCTGAGGAATGCTCATGTTTGACACAACCCCAACCTCACCAAAGACTACAGTTTTGGTGTCAACAAAACCCTGACATTAATTGCTTCATTTCCAGACCTTTGGCAGAATGGCCCCATGTGGCACTTCCTAACTGGTTCCCTTTGGGACACGATCCCAAGGTGAAACCATGTCTTCCCTTTTCTTGTTACTAGTGTATGCTTGTGTCCTCTTGGGGCAGCTCTAGGACAAGGCACAATCAAGTTCAGGGACAATCCTGTGTATTATGGATCCGTGGATAGAATAAACAAATCCATAAATGGGAAGAAACTAGGGGATAACTAAAACTCTTCTTTTACGTGAGCTGCACATAGAGCCACAATAGTGTTACAGGTTGTGTGTCTTCATCTCCCGTCAAAAAACCCACAGATTTTTCCCCATAGTATTCTTTCTATTCACCACTCCTTTGGAACTATTAAAAATATATTTAAAATGGCATCTGCTTTTATACTTGTTAGTGATTTTTACTGAGAAGCAATGGATCCAGGATAAAACTCAGTAGTAAAGCACTTGACTGGCAGGCCTGAATCCCTGAGGGTTTGTTGTTGTTTTGCCCTGTTTTGTTTTT